ATGCCAACTACAATGCAAAGCAAAATTTAAGGGAAATAATTTTAATCGGTCTTTGGCCGGTCGATTAGCTCCTCACGCACGCGGCCATTCGCGTAATAGCTAGGCCCACTAGCACAAGCCCACACTTATCTGTTCACACGCCTCCATATCCCGTCTTCCTCATCTGTATCTTCTTTTTCTCGAGAAGCAAGATGTCGTCGCCGCACTACTCCCTCGCACCGTTGTCTAGGAGGGGGGGGGCAAACCACCTATGTTGCAAACATCCCCTCTCACAGTACCTCAAACTGCTCCTCCCCGACATGGAGGGGGGGACCGCGTGCTCAAACCAGCATCGTGGTGTGATGGAACCAACAAGAAGTTTATCTACTTCCATTTTTCACGGTGGAGGTGCGACTTGCAACAACGATGACGTCTTTTACTGCAACCGTTGTCGGGTTTTGCTATAGCCAGCGAGGAATTTTGCTACATTCATCCACTGCTAAGTTGTGACCCGCGACGGCGGCTACGATTTTTTGCCGCAACCGTCCACGGTTCTGCTACGTCTTGTGATTTTCTTGGTATGTCCATTCACAACAGAGTTGCGACCTGTAACAGCGGGCGATGATGATTTGCTGCAAGCATCATCTCTTTTTTGCTACGATCGGTGGGATTTTTTTGGTACATCCATTCACGAGGGAGTTGCGGCCCGCAATGGCGGTGACGATGATTTGTTGCAACTGAGGGAGTCCTGGATTAGGGGGTGTCCGGATGGCCGGACTATACTTTCAGCCGGACTCCTGGACTATGAAGATACAAGATTGAAGACTCCGTCCCGTCTCTGGAAGGGACTTTCCTTGGCGTGGAAGGCAAGCTTGGCGATACGGATATACAGATCTCCTACCATTGTAACCGACTCTATGTAACCCTAACCCTATCCGGTGTCTATATAAACCGGAGGGTTTTAGTCTGTAGGACAACATATACATCAACAATCATACCATAGGCTAGCTTCTAGGGTTTAGCCTCCTCGATCTCGTGGTAGATCTACTCTTGTACTACCCATGTCATCAATATTAATCAAGCAGGACGTAGGGTTTTACCTCCATCGAGAGGGCCCGAACCTGGGTAAAACTTCGTGTCCCTTGCCTCCTGTTACCATCCAGCCTAGACGCACAGTTCGGGACCCCCTACCCGAGATCCGCCTGTTTTGACACCGACATTGGTGCTTTCATTGGGAGTTCCTCTGTGTCGTCGCCATCAGGAAGGATGCCTCGCCACGTCTTTAAAGACGGCACCGTTGCTAAGGGAGCTTTGGCTGTCGGCCAAACCCTCCGGCTAGGTGGTTTTCTTATGACCGCCTGTTCGGCTTTTGCGCCGACGATGACCTCTCGAGCCATCGAAAACAATCTTCATGTCAGCTCGGAACTCGCCGAGCAGTTAGATCCAATGGAGCTCTCCTCCATAAACGAGCTCTTGGACCGCTTCGCCGCCCTGGGAGTCGCTACGGATTACGACCAGATTGGGCCTAAACCCGATCTGAGAGAGATTAACTCTCCCCAAGTCACCCATCACGTTGCCGTGGTAGAGGGACAGCGCGACGACCCTTCATCTATCTTAAGGACTCGCTACGTCCGGATTCCCGATCCCTCCAAGCCGGATACCCGCGGAGGGGAGGATATCACTCAAGACCTGAATTTAGAGTCAGGCGACGGGCTGAATTCATTGGATAACATCCAGGAATCCAAATTTTCGAGTTTGGAAATTCCTCGGCCTCTGAGCCTTAGATGGGGTGAGACTTCGGATTCAACTCCACCCACCCACCCCAACATAAGCGATCTATCCAAAATCAGGCAAGAGCCCGACGAAACAGTACATCATTACTGGGCCAGATTCCTCCTGGTTAAGAACAGGCTAAGGGACTGCCGCGAGGAAGACGCAATCTCAATCTTCTGCAATAATTACACGGACAAGGGAATACTCAACACCATAAGTCGCTGTGATATTACACGCTTCGCTGACTTGGCGTCCATTGTACGAAAGTACTGTGCGATGGGAAGTGCCTGGAAAACCAAAATAAAATTTTGGGACAATCCAGACCTGAATACAAACCCAGTCCGAAATAAAAGGGTGCATCATAACCAGACACCCGGGTCAAACACCAAAAAGCAAAAACCCTCTACAGGGCATGGAACCGTACTGGAAGGATGGCTTAATGGACCCTGTAAAATTCACAGTACAGAGGACGCCACACCAACTCACAGCCTTAGAGCATGTTGGATACTCCGCCAGGTGGCCAAAATTGGCGAAAATCTCCTAATTTCGGAGGCCACAGAAAGCCACCCCAGAGACACCAATACGGTATTAACAGTCTTCAAGACTTTCGCATCAAATAATATGTGAAAAAGGACACTCCGCAGCCTTGCCAAAGTCTACCAAGTAGCAACAATAAACCCATGGAGTGACACGGCTATTACCTTTAACGCCAGTGATGAACCTAAATTCCGAACAGCCCGAGCACCAGCCGCATTGGTCCTCAGTCCAATAGTGGACGGCTTTCGTCTGACCAAGGTACTCATGGACGGCGGCAGCGGATTGAACCTCATTTATGAGGAAACCCTTCAAAAATGGAAATAGACTGGAACCGCATTGAGCGAAGCAGCACAACCTTTAGAGGAATAATCCCCAGTCGGGAAGCGCGCTGCACAGGAAAAATCACACTAGATGTGGTGTTCGGCACGCCGGATAATTACAGGTCCGAAGAGATCACGTTCCATGTGGCTCCGTTCAGCAGCGGTTATCACGCTCTGCTAGGGCGGGAAGCGTTTACAATCTTCCAAGCAATACCCCATTACGGGTACATGAAGCTCAAGATGCCCGGGCCTAACGGGATCATCACTCTCGCCAGTGATCCGGACATAGCACTCCGCGCCGAAAATAAGACAGCCGCACTGGCCCTCGAGGCACTATCCGAAAGCCCTAGCGGCTGAGGAACTGATTGCGCCGCGCTCTACGGTGAATAGGGATGATGTGGTACTCGATAAAAGATCCAAGTCCACCTCCTTTAAACCGGCGGACGAAATAGTCAAATTCCAAGTCCATCCAACGGTCCCCAATAAAACAGCTTCCATCGGGGCACAGTTAAACCCTGATGTAGACGCCGCACTGCGAGAGTTCCTACGAGAGAACTGGGACATTTTCGCCTGGCACCCTTCAGACATGCCAGGAATCCCACGCAGGCTGGCCGAGCACAGCTTAAATATCCAAACATGATTCAAACTGTCAAACAGGCTCTTCGGCGTTTTTCCGAACCTAAGAGATAGGCCATGGGAGAGGAGCTAGCAAAGCTATTGGAGGCCGGATTCATCAGAGACATAAAACATCCGGACTGTCTAGCAAACCTGGTGATGGTACCAAAGAAGGACAAATCCTGGCGCCTATGTGTTGATTTTAAAGACCTTAACAAGGCTTGCCCAAAGGATCCCTTCCCCCTCCCCCGCATCGATCAAATTATCGACGCTACCGCAGGACACGATTCGTTGTGTTCCCTCGACGCATATTCCGGCTACCATCAAATCAAGATGGCAAAACCAGACTAAGCCGCAATGACATTTATCACACCATACAGCCCATTCTGCTTCAACACGATGCCCTTCGGGCTCAAAAACGCCGACGCAACATATCAGTGCATGATTCAGACATGTCTGGCAAGCCAGATCGGCAAAACAGTGGAGGCATACGTAGATGATGTGGTCGTCAAAACAAGACATGTTGAATCTCTAGTATACGACTTGAGGCTCACATTTGATAACCTCCGAACATACGACATCAAGCTCAACCTAGAAAAATGCGTTTTCGGCGTTCCAGCCGGAAAGCTCATGGGCTTCATTGTATCCGGTAGAGGAATTGAAGCAAATCCAGCCAAGATCCGAGCTCTGTCGCAACTGGATATCCCAAAGGACCTCAAACAAATACAAAAGTTAACCGGATGTGTGGCGGCTCTAAGCCCCTTTATCTCCCGCTTGGGAGAAAAGGCCCTACCCCTCTACCGCCTCCTTCAGCGCACCGAAAACTTCAAATGGACGGATGCAGCCACGGCCGGACTCGACGAAATAAAAACCATACTGGCAACAAACCCAGTCCTGGCCGCGCCAAACATTGGCGAACCAATGCTATTATACATTGCAGCAACACATCAGGTTGTAAGCGCAGTGCTCGTCGTCGAACGAGAAGTGGACGGACACAAATTCCCCCTTCAAAGACCGGTCTATTATGTGTCCACTGTCCTCACTCCCTGCAAATCACGGTACCCGCATTATCAAAAGATTGTGTACGCGGTATTCATGGCATCCCGGAAGCTACGACACTACTTTCAAGAGTGTTCAATAACAGTAGCCTCAGAAGTACCACTTAATGATATTATAAACAACCATGACGCAACGGGCCGGATTGCAAAATGGGCTATTGAGCTCCTCCCGTTCGACATAACTTATAAGCCACGGCGAGCCA